AGGGAGGTAGATGTTTTCTACCTTAAGGTCTTTGAGTAGCATGTGGTACTTATTGATTTGTACCTTAATATCCTTGTCTTCATTCATCTCCTAAAGGTAGTAATTTTTGATGATGTGATAACACACTAAGAATGGTGTGATAACATACCTTATTCACTTGTGACCAATTTTCAGTTTGTTAAGAAGCTGGAATGGAGTCTGGCTTCAAATTTGTGGAATGTGTAAGCAACTTTATACATGTCCAATATGGAGCAAATGCACTTCAGCCAAGGATAAAAGTTTTGGCCTACGAAGACCTCAAATTAAGAGACATCTAACAAAATCTTGGCATAGATGATTGTTGTGATTGGAATAGGAACAACAATATTGATGTTCCTACCACTACCATTGTAGTTCTTTAAGATTTTTGTTGAAACTACTTGAACTCGTGAACAAGCTGAAGATCACTAGAGCTTGAACATGTAACAATTTCTTAAGGTGTGCGATAACATTGTCCTTAAGAATTTATCCACAAAAATTACGCAAGTTCCCAATATATAACAAGAACTTCATAATAATAGAATCGGGATACAAAACTAGCAAGACTTTTAGAAATGAGAACCCAAAGTCCTTAAGAAAAAAAAAAGACTAATTAGTGGTGTAATTTTTAGTGAATAGAAGGCCTCTTGACAAAAATGCATCAGTAAGTAACTGACTTTGCAAATAGATCGATGCGTATGAAAAAAATTCTATTTAGAAAATATTGACTAAATGAGATAACTATTTGAAAACAGATGGAAATAAACAAATGAAAATAGTCAAAAGACTTTGTCAAAATTGACAATGGTCAAAATACTCAATCAAAACTATTAATAAAGAATTAAATAAGAAATAAATAATAAATAGTCAAGATATTAATAAAAAGACAAAGTCAAAATCTTTAATTGAAAAAAATCAATCAATATTAATAAGGACTTGGTGGAAACCAATAATATTCAAAAGACTTGGTCAAAACAGTTAATAAGGTATTAAATAAATAAATAATAAATAGTTAAGATATTAATAAAATGATAACATAAGAATAAAGACAAAGTCAAAATCTTTAAATAAAAACGTAAATATAGTTGTAATCGAAAATAAAAACTTTTCTATAGCCTGTATCCACATGTATAATGAGAGAACAAATACATTCTAACAAATCATCATGCACATGAACTCATGCTCCATTGTTTGTCTTTTTAGTTTGTGTTACAAACAACTTAGTAGATAGGCATGTCAATAGGGCGGGGCAGGGGTGGGTTTTACGTTCCTCGCCCCCACCCCTGCAGATTTAAATCGCCCTCGCCTCCATTCCCGATACCCACTGGAGGTAAAATCTAGGTACCCATTCCCGTCTCCGACAGGATTCGGGTTTCCTCGTCCTCGCTCCTACCTTTTTTTTTCTTCTTTTTTTCTTTTAAATAAATATGAACAACTTTAAAAAAAAATAAAATAAAAGTAAAATAATACAAAGTTTTACATATAAATATTTCTAATTTTGGTTTATATATATATATATAAATAATTTTTTTAATTATATTATTAAGCGCGACGGGTACAGGGACGGGGGTGGGGCGGGTGTTAACATCATTGTCCTCGCCCCCGCCCCCGATTTTATCAATTGGGAAAAACTTGAACCCGATAAACACAGGTTTTCCCCGTCCAAATTAGGACGGGTTCAGACAAGTACCCATGGGGCGGGTTAGATTTTTATGCCTATTGGTAGATAAACATATACTCTCAAGTAATTGCATACAGGATGAGACTCAAGGCTTTTGATATATCTCAACATACAATGTAAAATGGGTTTAAACTATTAAACATGATGCATGAACATCCCATATGCTATATTTAACATCTAGAGAGAAAAGAAAATAACAAAATAAATAAATAAATAATAGTATCATATAATAATAATAAAATATTAATGAGATTTTTTAAACGAAGAAATATTTATATACCATTACTCTTATCATCTATTTGAAATGCAAGAAATGAGATATACCAGTGATGGAAATATGTATGTAAAAACAATGATAGAAAAGTTGATAAAATCATCATCCTTCCCCTCTAGATTGCTTAATAAGTGAGCAGGAAGGATTAAAAATTAGGAATACATATTCAATATATCTTATATTGAAAGAAAATAAAAGAAAAAGAAAGCAAGGTTTTTCATATAAGTGAACGACAAAAATATCTTTATAATAGTATATTTTTATTTATTAAAGATATTTTATGTCATTTTATATATATTTAAACTTTTTTCTAACCAAATAACCTTCATAATTACATTTCTCTTTTTTTCTTTCTATATTTTCACTTTTCCCCCCTAATTTAAATATATTATAATCCCATTTATTATACCTAGTGTTGAAAGAAAA